ACACACACATACACACACACACACATATAAATAAATAAATAAAATTAAAAAAGCAATTAGTAGGACAGTTTCAATAATTAATACATTGCATATTGTCTTCATAGTGGTTATTCATAGTACAAGATGCAGACATGATATCCTGTCCAAACACTATTAGTACAAATCTTTTTTCTCATTGAATTAAGAGAAAGTAGCTGTATATCTATCCTATTTTGTATATACAGATATAAAATGGTCCTTCCTTTGTATCCCTTTTTTTTTGTTTAGTTTTGTCAGAGATGGGTATTCCATTGCCATTTAAATATTGTAGGTGCTTGAATTCAGCAAAATAATCCAATATAGTCCAGTACTCCATAATAGTAGTGGGTTATACATAGGACTGGCAAGGTCAGAAGTTGTTGACTTGAGCCCTTTACAGCTCAGCATATTAATATGGCTTTACTTTTCATACCTGGTTATTATACTTTTCTGCTGGATAGTTAAGACCAAGATAAAGCAAGACCTATATAACAAGAAATGTATCTTTTGTATCTGACAAGGTCAGTCAAGTCCCCTCAGGATTTACCCTGAAAGCCTGTACCGCAGTTTGTAGATCCTTTGTCAGTGTCAGCCGTGTGGAGGAGTCACAGCCATTGCTTGGCCAATTAAGCATGTTAATTTTATAAAAATCTAAAAATATGTGGGTTATCTGCTTATTATCCTTTCTAACCCTCTCTTTTAAAATTGTATTTTAAAAAGAAAAAGTAAAAATAAGAATAAAAGTTTTAAAACAGGTTAGAGAGTTACCATAATTAACACATTGCCTTTTGTTAAAGAATTTAACTTTACCCTTCATTTTGCCTTATTAGTATTTGTCTGCCATCTAGTGATCCTAACCATAACTGCGAGATTAATGGGCTCCTTGGCGCCTCTGGGGAATGATTTTCTCCATTTCTACAGCCGATATACTTTCCAGAAACCACTGTAGGTAGAACAGACTTACACCTCGAGGTCTCCTCCAATACTGAGTCCTGTGGTTCTGTGATCTAGTCCTTCTGCCTTGTGATTTTCTGTTGTTTTCTTGTAGTTTTTATTTCATATAAAATGCTTTTCCTTCTTGGTTTCACTGGTCCACTCTATTTCATTCATTATCTAGCTATAGAGTCAGCTTCTCTAGTAGGATCTTCCTCAATAATTTTCATTCCATACTGATAGGCTTTTTCATTGATTATTATTTCCCACCTGCATAGCAAGCAGCCTGTGTCAGATGAGTATTTACTTTGTGGATTTTCAAGTACACTCGATGTGTGCTTTACATTTCCATGGAAGCAAAATTTTACAGTTCTGCATAATCAGAACTTAGTAGGATAATGAGTTTTGGAATTGTCTCATTGCTATTTGTTTCTCAATAAAATTAATTTTAAAACAAGAACTTAGTAGGAGTCTGAAGATATGTGACACCCAGTTCTTTATCTTAATTTTAATCATTTGTATCAAAATAATAGAAAACTCTTATTTCATTTTGTATGAAATATATTGTGCAAAAATACTCTTATTTTCTGTAACCCTGGGTCCACAGGAACTTCAAGACTGCACGTCTGCATCACTCAGGAAGCACCTGGTGTCAGTGCAGCTGCGCCAGGTGTGTGCAGGTCACAGGTGTCTGCGCCTCCTCATCTGACCCCAGAACTTGCCATTGGTTATAGTGTGTGATTACAACTCTGTGTTGCTAACAATACTGTTTTGCTGATCAATCCTGCTTTTCCATCATTAGGACTGTTTCCATTTGATTTTATGATTAGTTTTATGTAATTATTCAATATTAATTATGAATCTTCTACATGTTTTCATCTATGCTGAAATTAAATTAAATTCAGTTATAATCATACAGTGAGGACTAAGAAGGTTTCCTATAATGCTTTATTATGTTTACTACTACAGCAGTTTCACTCTGTATTTTTAAAATATCTGGAGCGGGTTCTGTCCATCTCAAGGGAACTACTTCTCCCATTTCCCTTGCACACCTCACTACAGGGATGCAGCAGCACGCATCCAGTGCGTGCTTAGCGGACGCTTATGGGTAGCAGAGATGCTGAGAACTGAAATGCGGCTGAGCTGTAGCTGCTGCTTTACTTTCAGGGTGTGCAGCCCCATCTTCAGTAGGTTCTCACCAGATATTTAGCTAACTGGCTTTCTGTTGCTCTCCATTATCTGGACTTGAGAGCTGGGGACCTGTTCCCCTACCTGTACACCACCTTCTCAGCTCCCACACTTTCCCACCACGTCTCTAATCATCTCTTCTACCTCCTTATACCCCTCATGAATTAGAATCTAACCAGCCTTTTGCCTTCTTAGTGTGTTTCTGCCATCTAGTGATCAGAGTGGTAACTGCAAGATTTAATAGGCTTAAGGAATGCAATACTGTGCCCTTAACACAAATCCAATCCACAGCACACCAAGGGCTGTCATTCATTCCCTTGTCTTTTCCTTAATTGTCCAGCCCGAGGAGTCGGTACATATTATTACCTCTTCTAATCTGCTTCTCATCACCTACCAACCTTTCACAGTTCAACTTAAACATCTTTCAAGGAAATACTTATTTTCACCTCCCAGACTAGGGCAGATTTCTGTTGAGTGCTTTCATAGCAGTCATCGTTTTGTATAAGCTAATGTAAGCCATAATGTTTAAGAATATTTGTATGATTATGCAGTGTAATTCATGTCTGATTTAGTAAAGTGTAACCCGGATGAGGGCAAGGCTGTCCTCTTCTTGGTCATCATTGCATCCAAGCCTGTCGCCCGATCCCTGCACATAGAAGCTACTTCCTTAATGTTCGTGGAGTGAACGAGTGGATAAGTGCTACACCCCAGGGATGCCCAAAGTGCTTATGGCTGTTGCTGCTGCTCAAGAGCAGCGGCATAGAGGAGTGGAGGAGGAGGGATCTGTCCTGTAGATCCCAGAAATGTGCATATTCTTTATAGATGCAGCAAATAAAGGTGATTGTCTGGAGTGGGAGAGCACAATCAGAAGACAGAAAGTTATGCCTCTTTGGTGTCACAATTGAAGGCTGTTACCCATCGAGGACGACAGTACACCGTCCCTAGCACCCATAGCACCCAGACTCTGTACCTCAAATACCATTTCCCACCTGCAGAACTCGGGGTCTTCCTGGGATCATGTTAAAGAATGTAAGAACCAACTGGACAGGGCAGCCCCTGATCAAAGATAGGATAATTCTTTTACGTTTTATTTTGAAAGCTTTCAACCCTAAGTGGTGGTAATGAGAAGTACCCCTGTATCTTTCACGTGGTGTCAGCAGTAGCCAACAGGGCCAGCCTTGCCAACTCCCCATCCTCCCTTACTGAATTATTTTGATGTAGAAAACCTCAATCTGAATATCATATGATACATCTCTAAAAGAAGAAAGAATGTTTATAAAATGGGGCTAAGGATATATAGCTCAGTGCCATAGTGCCTGCCCAGCAAGTGCAAGGTCTTAAGTTTGATTCTTGATATAAAAATCAAATAAGATTAAAAGTATAGTTTACTTAAAAGATGGGACAGTTTGAACATCAAGGTAGTAATAACTGGTGGGTTGAACTCTTATCAAACCTGTGTAAATCATGATAATATTTTGAAAACCAAATGCCTTGTCCTTAGAGATTGTTAGGACATATAGAAGAAATGCTCCAAAAATCCTAGCCCTGTAGCCCTAATAAATAGTGGTGTATCCAGAGCTTATCATAGGGTAGGGATGGCAAATCCTTAGACACTGGGCACCCACACTGTAACTCGAGCCCCACATATTTATTGCAGAGTGCCAACACTGCAAGAAAACCTGAATACTGAGGTTTTGCTTGAGAAAAAGTCTTTTGTCTTAACAAAAACCACAATAACAGAGCTTTCAGTGGTAGACATAGCCCACTGTGGGACACATAGGTTCACCAGCACTGTCATGAGATATTAGGGCTGTCAAGTGAACAGGTGGTGAGGAAATTGGTAGTAGGCAGACTGGCAGAACCCATACCTGGACCTTTTGATTAATCTTAATACTACCAAAAAATAGATATCTAAACATTATAGGTCTACTAATGGAGCTACTAGAAAATATATATCACCACCCTTGGCATATTCTTGCCAAAGACAAACAGAAACTGAGTCTAACTAAAACTCTAGTTGTAGCTACCATCTTACAGGAAATGAAGATAGAATCCTGTGTTCACACAAAAGTCAGAAAGAAGGGGAAGTGTGACAGTCCTCTGAAGGAGACTAGAGAGAAGCATCCATCAAGTTCAGTGGTAATTTTGTTGCGATTTTAGTGTGAAGAAATAAACAAATAAACTGACATATCTATGGAGTAATAAGGGTATAACAATATGGCCTAGGTAATGCAAGATTTAAAATTATTGTTCATTTTCTAGGCATGATAATGATATTTGGCTGTGTTATTTTTTTTGTTACGGGTGTATAAAGTGACGCATAAGCTGAAGTGCAACCTTCAGACAGCGTGTGTGACCCTGTGCACAGCTCTGCCCTTACTAAGAGCTTGGCAGAGGTGCAGAAACTCAGAGAGCACCGCCACCGCCGAATCCGAATCCACCCCATTGTGTTCCTGAATCACAGAGATTTATGCACACTTTAGGCATTGAGAAGCACTGCTCCAACTTGGGGTTCGGGGAAGTACGGATGGAAAAGAAATAAGATTAGCAACTTCTGATAATTATTAAAGTTTTGTGATACGTGCATGGTGGGGAATGATGGATGTGAAATTACACATGCTTAACGTAGTGTCCATCTGTGTATTCAGCCCAGTGACTGGTTTGCAGTTACTAGTTTGAAAAGTGCCTAACGAGTAGATAAATACTACTGGACTATGTGTTTTTTCTTATCTCAGCTAAATTGTTGGGTAGAGAACGCTTTTAAAATTGTTTCTGATAAAAATCACATTATTCCATTAAAATGCATGAAAGAGATTGCTTTTAATTTACAACTGCCAGTTCACTGTCAATTCTCTGTCCAGGCACGCTTGAAGAAGTCTCTCCAGAGCTTGGATGGTGCCCTGGACGACGACGATGCGGAGAAGGCAAGCAAGTGGGTAGAGCGCCCCAGGGCTCTGCTGCCTGCCGCAGCTTCGCGTTTTGGGGTGTTTCCATGAGCGTGTGCTCCTAGAGCTCGAATCTTGTTCCCTTCAGTTTGCATTGCATAAAGGAACCAGTGCTCCTTGGATTGTTGTGGGGGACAAATCTTGGGACAGGAGAGCAAGCTAGACTTGCAGTCCCTCGTTCCTGGCAGGCCCCCACGTCTGCAGAGATGCTGGGGCAGGGTGGGGTCCACCTGCATTAGGCTTGCATCCTGCACTGATGGGCCAGATGCGGGCAGCGATGATAATTACTCATTTGAAGCGAATTGGGCTGAGGGAGGCAATTAAGTTCAGGGTGGTATCAGAAAAGGGAAATTTATTTTTTTAATTAAATTTTATTTTGAAAAGTAAAAGCAAAGCAAGGACAAAAATCAGAGACAAAGAAGCAGGGCAACATACAACAGTACATATGTTACGGATTTTCAAACCAAGAATAGCTGATTAACAGCGGTTGATATATTATGTATTTTATCGTCAGATCTGTTGCTCAATAGAAAAGGGTAGTTTATTATAAAGTGTTAAAATTAGCTTCAAGTGAATAATAGATACTTATCTTCTTTATAATTTTAAGATATATGAAGATAACAAAAGGGACATTCTTTTTTCTTTGTTGAGGAAATCTATCTATATAAAGTAATACACTTTAAAATGAGTAAGTAAATAGGAAAAGGAAAACCATATAATAATAGTGAAAGTAAACTTGGGTTACCACACACTTTTCAAATACTCAGTCCAAGATAAAGGTTCCCAGTCCCACAAAATTAGGGCAGATGCACAGCCGGACCTCTTCCTCCACATGGCCGTTACCATTGCTGTTTTTCTTTGTTCATAATTCACATACTTAAAATTCCAGTATTTAAGTGGTAGATACACAATTATAAAGAGTTTGGCCATGAACCAGTTATTGTTTTGGTTCACCTGAAATAGCATTTTGATTTTAAGCATCCCACTGACTGTAATTTGTGAGAAGTTGCTTACACACAGCCCGTGTGGATGTATTTCTGCTACTGTATGTCTTCTTCAGGTTATCTTTTGAAGATGGCGAAGAAGCTTCTGCGTATTACTATGAAAGTGATGATTCTGTTGAAACAAGAATGAAGGCTCCTTATTCAGGAGAAATGGACTTATTAGGAGAGATCCTTGATACGTTGAGTACACACAGCTCAGATCAAGGAAAACTGGCCGCTGCAAAGAGCTTGGATTTCTTTAGATCGATGGATGATATTGATTACAAACCTACGGTCAGTTGATTTTTCAACTTATAAAATTAAATGAATACAGTCCTCCTCTTGCTATGATTGTCTGATGTTATAATCTTAGTTGATAGAAATGTTTAAGCTCTAGGTGTCCGAATTGGTGTCCAAATTTTAAAAATATGGTAAAATTTAAATACTAAGGATTATTTATAGTAATGCAGTTCCAAGTTTTTCCTTTTTATATATCCAGCTCTGGTGGGTTTTGTCATTATTCACAATTATTTTGTCCATAGCAATATTTTCTTGAATCAAATTTTATGCTTAACTTCTTGGGTGAAGTTTTCTAGTGTGGAATTGTCTTCTTTTGTTCATTTACTTCCAGAGTTTTTAAAAGTTTTTTTGTGGTAGTGGGGATTTAACTCAGGACCTTGCACTCACCAGGTAGGCACTTATGTCTTTGAGCTATATCCTTGCCCTTAAAAAAGGAAATATGTTTATTCAAGTCTTTTCCCCCCACTTTTTGCTTCAAAAATGAACAATGTTTTGAAAAATGGAATTGAACTTTTAAAATGCATTAAAGACAGATGTGTGAGCCGTGGTAGCCCAGTGTGCTTGCGAGAGACAACAGACATTGCTTTAATTACTGGGTGTCGTCCAGTTTGAATTTGGCAGGTGACAATTCTAAGAACACGGAAACCATAGTCCATCTAATTTCGATCTTCTTCACACAACTATTCAGAGGTATCAAAATTAACTGTCAGTACTACATTTTTTTTTCCTGCAAGAAGTTTCAGGTTCCTAACCTTGAAAAGATTGATTTCAAAATGGAAAAAAAAAAAAAAAACAAACTAGAATAATAACTTTATTAAAAAGTGTTTTGAACTTGTCTCTGTTTTCAGAATAAGTCCAATGCTCCTAGTGAGAATAACCTGGCCCTCTTCTGTGGTGCCTCTGGGGATCAGGCAGAGTGGAATCTCGGGCAGGACGATAGCGCCCTCCACGGCAGACACCTCCCTCCATCTCCCAAGAAGCAGGTTTCCTCTGGCAGCTTGACAGAGTCTCTCTTTATCTTGAAGGAGGAAAACAGTGATAAATGCCTCAGTGCTGACAATGTTTGTGGCCCCAATGTGATGGAAAACGCAGGTTCTACTTCAGGGTTGCCTTCCCAGCTAGCTCCCACTAAAGTTTCCCAAACTCATAAAGGAGAAACAGAAAAGAAGGAAACACTAAGCCAGATTTCAGATGATCTGTTGATGCCCAGCCTTGGGAGATGTCCATCTACTTTTGTTCCTTGGGAGAAAGAGGGGAGAGAAGTGAATAAGAATTCTGAAGACCTTGGACTGCTCCATGAAGTAGCGTCATTGTGTCACATGTCGTCTGACTCTGGGCAAGGCTCAAACATTTCCAAAGGAAGTGCAAGTGGAAACCAAACTTAAGGCACCAGTGAAGGATCTATCACTTGCGTCCAAACTTCCAGGGAGCATTTGAGGAGTCCCTGTAATCTATATAGTAGACAGAATAATCTGAAAAGATGACAACTCTTTCTGCTATTTATTTATGTTTTTTTTCATTTGGAAGAAACTTTCCCCCACTTGTTCATCTCTGGAGTATATGTTATCCACTGATTTTTAATTGTAAGGTGGATCCTACTGTGCTGTTAAATCAGGTACTAGTATGTATGCATGTTGCAAGGATATGTTGAACTTAAGATTTCCCAGTAATTGGTGCTTAATGCCATTCGTCCTATTTAAAGTAAGTAAGCAAAGATAATCCTTACACATAACCAGTAGCTACTGTGTTACTCTGGTTGAGCATGAACTGATCAAGATATCACAGTTTATCAAAACTAGCCTGACTGATGAAACTGTTAACCCACTAATTGCCTTAACCTTAACGCTCTATCAACCATACTTAAATAACTTAAGAAGTTACATATAGAGTTTGACAAAGAAGTTATTTTGTTTTGCAGAGCAATAATACCTTTTTCTACTCATCAAATTAAGGTTGAACTTAATTTTTCTCAAGGTGTATAGCTCTCTTGTGGAAATACTTGCTTTTATAAGAATACTGCAGTCATGTTTCTCAAAAAGTTAGAAGGTATAAATTTACCTTTCACTCAGTGACACATGAAGTGCTTAGTTGCAGTGTGAATTTATTGACTTCTGTTTACAAAGGAGACCTTTAAAAATGTGTGTGGTCTCTATGCCTTTGCTATCTGGGGTCCTCCTCGAGGAAGCCACCTGCAGCATGAACTGTCCTGACAATGTATTTTCCGTCTTTTTTCCTGAATTAATAATTTTCTGTTAAAGATGCTGTATATTCTCATCTCAAATTACATTTTAAAATAATTGACTTTGTATTTTAGATTTATGGAAAAATTGCAGAGTTAATAGAGAACTTCATTTATCCTTGTATCTAATTTCTCTATTAATATCTTAAATTATTATAGCATATTTGCCACAATTAATGAGCCAGTATTAATAGTCTGCTCCTTTCAGATTTTCATGGTTTTACCCTATTGGTAATGTCTGTTTTCTGTTCCCAGGATACCGCATTACGTATAGTTGTCCTCTCTTTTTATTTGATCTTGGCAATGGCAGTTTATTAGACTTTACTGACCTTGACAGTTCTGAGGACTGTTGGTAAGACGAATTATCTAGTGCGCTTCTCATGGAGCTTGTCTCATATGTTGCTCCTAAATTAAATTTCTCACAAATGCATTTTGGGAAGAAGAGTACAACAGTAAACTGCTGTTTTCCTCATATGCTGTCAGGGGTGTGTGCTGCTGACATGTTTATGAATGGTACTGTTGACTTTGATGGCCTGGCAGAGGTAATGGTTGTCAAGGGTTTTTTTTATTATAAACTACTATCACCCTCCTCTCCACACCATGGTCTCTGGAATGAAGTCACTATGAGTAGCCTGCGTATGTCCTCTATGCAGAGGAGTATCTAAGTCCAGTATGTGGGATTATGTGGGCAGCGTGTCTCCCTCAAAGTTGCTGATGGGTTCCGGAGTTCATCTGAGAAGGAATCGTGTCCTGATTGCTTGCTAGACTGCAGGAACAGTCAGGAAAAAGCTAAGTGATGTTATAGTTAAGTTTTTATTTCTACCTTTATTCATCTATTCTGGACATCCTAATCAATATTTTTTAAAATACATCTTTTAGGAAAAGTGTTTAAGAAACCATTGAAGAATCCCAGTAACATTATACTCTATATTGATGGAATATAATTTCTCCTAGAAGATTTGTCTGAAACAGTGCTGAAAAATATTTGTTCAGGTCATTTTTAAAGAAAATGACAAAGTGTTTTTAAATCTACATTCCATGATCTAAGTTAATATGTTGTATTTGGGATATTCATTTATAATTATACAGGAAGATAAATCTAGTTTTTATTTTATGGTAAATTCTATATGTAAAGAAAATATTATGTAAACCTTTTTTAAAACACAAAAGTAAGTTCAAATTCCAGTCATATTTTGCCTTTATCCTCATTATGAATTCCATTATTCATCAGCTGAAATACATAATAGTGCATCTATGACAGCATCTTAAGTAAAAGGATACCCTGTGGTCAATCTGATTGACAAATAGTCCTTGATTTATGAAAAGAATTCAAAATAATATTTAGCATCAATTTTGAAATGAAGCTTTTTTTTCCTCTCTCTCTCTCTCTCTCTCTCTCTCTCTCTCTCTCTCTCTCTCTCTCTCTTCAAAACCCATAGTCCGAAGTATAAGTTAATCAGGAGTATAGCGTGGATGCAACCTGGGGTTTAGGCCTTTGACTCAGTAGATACTGTGGCCAGATTGTCTCTCCTTTAGTCATCTCCCAAGACATTTGACTCTACTACTGTGTTGTTTTTAGGATTCTAAGCCATTCACAGATAATGTAATTGTCTTAAGATATTTTTAAGTGATCTGTGCCTTAGTTTAAACATACAAAATTACTTATTTTACTCTGTTAAAAAACAAACAAAAACAAAAACAAAACTCTACCTGGTATTCTTGAAAATAGTCCATAAAACTCATAGCAGTTATTAGTATTTCAAGCCATGTTACCTTGACTTCCTAGCAGGATGGTAGATATTGAGAATGAAGTGAGATTAGGGTAAGTTGCTGAATAAGCAAGCAGAAGTATTATTTTCTACTCTGCTCATATTTTCTGTTATAACCTAACTAATCTTTATAAGTTTTCCTGGTGTTTAAATTATTTTTTAGAAGAATAGTATCTGGTCTACAGCAGAATTGTATAGAGTAAGGCTTGGTACATAGTCTTTTTCTAAGGCCTCTGAATTGGGTCATAATTTTTTCTGAGTCTCATCCTAGCTTCTGTCCCTCGGCCCATGAGTGTGGCTCCCGTGATATTCCAAGGGGTAGAGATGTATTGTGTACATTTAGGAGCTGCTGTTTTATTGGATGAAAATGTTGCTAAATTGTGTATTTTGATGATTGCCTACATCAGCATATCTTTTAAAGGCAAGAAAATATAGTATGATTATTTTGCCAATTGAAAATTTCTTCATTTATAAAATATTTATGCACTTTTTGCACAAGTCATGTGCAAGTGTGATAACTGAAGGTGTGAGGACATGAAATAACTGGCATTATCCCTGCTGAGGAAGTCAATTAAAAGGAATTGCAATGTGTTAAAATGGTGATGATGGCATATAATAATAATAATAATAATAATAATAATAATAATAATGGTGGTAGTAGTAGTAATGTACTCTGCTTACAAGTTACTACCCCAAGAATCTCTCATCAAAAAAGTTTTTATCTGTTTAATCAAAATCATGCTCTAAATACAGTACCATTTGTAAATGCATTTATTTTCTTAATTATCACATTAGTTATAATAATGCTGCTAAAATAATTCACTTTTCAAAGACAGATTCAGAGACGTTTTCAGAAGCTCAGTGTCCTTGTTTACCTAATTCTCCTTCAGATGAGCAGCATCACCGGGCCTCCCTCCTCCTGTCAGGAAAAGTGTTCCTTTTCAGTACCTAGGGCCACTCTGCTCACTTTAGGAATAACTGGTACAGAATCCAAGAACATGATAACATTGTTTTCCAGAGCCAGTCCCTTCCTTTTAAATTGAAATTGTATGTGACAGTGCTGGGATTAGGATTTTATCCTAATATCTCAGTAATAGGATTCAGGAATGCTAGTGAATTAGTTGTTCATTAATAGTGAAGAAGTAGATTTCTGATCAGGAGAAGAAAACTGAATGTTCTTATCCATAGACCTTCGTTCTCCATTTTCAGGAGATTAATTACTTTCATGAGTAAATTTTCTTGTAACAATTCTATTTGAATCTGAATCTAAGATTTTTAAATCAGAATATGAATTTAGGAATGTAAGATGAATCCCAAGATTTAGATTTCAAAACACTTCTTCATATAGGAAACAGTTTCTAGGAATCCCACGCCACCCCTAACATCCTTCCCACGTCAAGCCTAGTGATAGTGTCAATGTGTGTTTCTTAGAGCTTCTTTAAGAGGCAGAATGGTTTTGAGCAAATCAGTGAACATTATGATTTGGTCAAGAAATAGGAAATTATTTAAATTTAGACAAAATTTTATTTGAAAAATAATAGTATTTTGTGCAATATTTTTTCTTGCATAATTTAGTTCATACAAATATGTATGTCTGCTTCTCAAGCAGGTGTCTGAGGGTCACGTTTTTCAGTATTTGTGTAAAACTGTATGTAGCAATGTTCTGTGTGATTTTAGAACTGTCTTTATATTATTGGAAGGAAAAATGTTTTTGTTTATTTAAAATAATTATGGATGTTCCATTACTGTATTATAACTAACTGCCTCAGCAACAATAAATATGCAATAAGAAAATCCTGTACCTTAGATTAATATTGACTATACTGTTACTTTAAGAAAAATGTTTATGGTGCAAAGTGCTGATTGTACATGTGTACACTTAAATACTCTGCTCTGCACCACAGAAATCGAAATGGCATTTGTAAGGTGATGACTGTATGTAAAGTGTGTCATCTTTTATGGTGTATCTTTGCTAAGATTTATAAAGGGCATTGCCAATACTTTTAACTGTCCATAAATTAATTTTTTGTATGATGTACAGTTTGTTTAACCTTAAAGCTTCTATAGATTTTTACTTTTATTATACTTGAATGAGGCAAATGCACTGTGGAAATTTGTAGCTCTGGATGCAATATGCAAATATACCAAAAAATAAAAAATAAAGCCAGGTACTGAACAACAATGTTAGCAGAATGCTTTATATCCAGAATGCTGTTTTTTCAAGTCACACTTAAATAATTGAAGATATGCAATCTTTGGCCTTAGAAGGTTGTAAAGTCACAAATGATTACCTCTTTGATATGACAAACTTGTAAGTATCTTCATTTCTGCTCATTGGTTCTCAGACGAGAGCCTTGATAAGGTCCACCAGGAGCTCACCCTTCCGGTTGACTACAGATGTTTAGGGTGGAACAGTTGAGAACGCTGCACGTTAAATGGACCGTGTGCGTCATTGCTATCTTTTAGACACAAGGGTTTTGTAGGTTACTTTGAGAACTACTTAATTGTATATCAAAACTAGATTTTGAAAATCTGATGACTTTGCTATACCTAAAACAGCAGCTAATATGAACTGCATGACTCCTACAAGTTAATATGCATAAAGCTGTTTTATGTGAAAGCCATGTGATGGGTTCAAATTGAGTCTTTACAAAGGCTTTAAATGCAAAGCTGTTTCAAATGAAAATATTAAACATCTTACTCATCATGATAACAGACATCTGTAAAAATTTACCGAGCATTGTGATTTTCTGTTTTGTTTTGTTTTTTTCATCCCTGAGGTTACAGTATAAATCATCTCTAAAGTTGACTACTGTTAGGAAGATGTTATGTACAAAATATTACTTTGGGAATTTTTTAAATATGCAAAACAAATATTGGATGAACTCAGTATTCCAACCAATAAAGTACCCAATTATGTAGTTATAAAATAAAATTGGTCACACTCACACTTTGCATGGTGTTAACTCTTCTTTTATAATTGGTCTGCTTATCTCTTGGTGTTTCGGGTTGAATGGCTGAGAGGACCCTCCCATCTCCAACCCTGTAACAATATGAATTTAGGTCTAAATCTAATGGGTCTTCATGAAAAATACTCTACTTCTAGGTCCAGTGAACTTACTAGGCTTTAAAAATCATGGTGAAATACTTAAATACTGTAGTTACTGTGTCACTCATTTTATCTAAGGACTGTTCATGTCAAAAACTGTGTACAAACCCAAATTTAACATATGAGGCCGAAGATTAGATAGAATTGTGCATATATAGACACTGTTGCAGGACCAGAAGGATAAATTTCTCATCTGAGTGTTGAAATGGTCCAGGTGCTATTGAAATAAATGTTTCCTTTAGGGTGCAGAAGTCAGGAATACTGTAACATGTGGAGCTTCTCATTTTCATAGAAGAAGCAAAGTTCTGAATCCACCAAGCCCAGGATTCAGCTATCTTTTATTGATTTTCATTGTTAATGCTTGGCCTCCACTAGGTTTTTCTCAGTACCTGTCATAGTCTGTGTATGAGATGTAGTAGTATCTTAATCTTGGAAATTAAAAACCCTGTTAAAGTATCTTTGTGTGTAATTGAGGGAAAAAATACCCTTTGAAAGTATTAGTAGGTAGTGACTCTAGAAGCGTGTTTCCTAGAATTAAGACTGAATCACAGGACATACAAAAATTTCTACATGCATGAAAAGTATAGCATTAATAGCATAAAGTCAGGTGTTAGTTACATCATGGAATATAAATAAAATCCTTCCCCACATTCTGCCGTTGATTTGGACCTGCCAACTTCCCTAAAACTTCATTCTTCTGCCTTTAAAGTATCAAAAATCTATGTAAATATCAGTTGTCATATGATTTGAGGTCCAGAAAATATTCCTAAATATATTTGATTCATAATCAAATATATCCATTTGATTTTGAATTCTTGTGATTTGGTGTCTACAACTGTAAATCACAGTTGTAAAATCTTAGATTTTTATCTAAGCCAGTGGTTCCGAAACTTCGATTTTCATTAGAATCACCTGGAGAACTTTAAAAAAAAAAAAAAAAGCAGAACAAAAGGGGAAGGCAGATGCTTGCCCATACTCCTAAGTTTAGTAAGTGCTATGGTTAGTTCCATAAACATAACACACCGAGGTATACGAAGGGTCAGTGAGATCCCTAAAATCCCATGCCATCCAATGTTCAGGCTCGGGGGTGGGCCCAGTTGTCTGACTGCAGGCCTCATATGGCTCCACAGAAAGGCAGGACAGAACTTAAGTGCCAGGTCCAACCTGGACTCCTTTACTGTCGCAGCTGTCCCCTTTAAGTATTGCATAATGCTTTGACAAGTCTGTGTTTTAAATCTTAAGTGCTAAATTTCCTGGTGTCTTTTGGGAAGATTCAAATGATTGGCTTCTCTTTTTTCATTTTTCTTTTTATGCTCCCTTGCTCAGCTTTTAATTCCATCTCAGTCTTTTTTGTACATGTCCACATTCTCTCTGCTTTCTCCTCCTCCCACCTTTCTTTCATGCATGTGTTGGAAAAAAGAAATGGGAAGTCCTTGCTGGGTTTTGCAGGGTAACAAGCGTGTGCTTGGTGTCATACTTACTCATTTT